AATTGGATGAATAAATAAAATAACAAATTGACAAATAAACTGAAAATATTCGATACGAGCCCTTTATTCTGGGAGTACCAATATCGTGTTAGTCGTTTCTTGTTTAACGCTAATGAATAATCCCTGTTTGCAATAAAGATAGCTAGCTACTACAATCAACACCTGCCTGCCATGCAACAAGCCGCTTCTGGGCGGTGTTTTGCTTTAATCTGCTGTTGCCAAATTGAGTTCAGAAATAAAATTGAAAATGTTAATTAGAGGAGAAAAATATATTATTTAGGGATTCAAGACAAAATTTGGCATTCTCAGTGGTGGGGATAGCACAAAGACCCAAAAGAGACAGAGAGATGTTGTCATACGAAAATTTTGTTTATTGTTCGGTCTATCTGTGTTTTGATGTCATTGGTTGCAATCGATCTAAACGCGCCTGAACTTCATTAACAATATTATCATTCAAATTATCTTTATCAATCCCTTTGAAATAATTTTCCAAACGCGTAACCTTACCCTTAATACTTTTCTTTTCGGATTTTAATTTTGCAATCACGACTTCAGCCATTCTGATTGACACAGATTGAATTTGTTGCTAAATTTACAAATTTACGTAATTGAACCGACTTACCCAGAAAAACGCAAGCAACCAAATGTGGAAACGTGACAGTAATAATTTCTATACTTTCTTACTCACTGCCTTTCCGATGCTTTCGTTTTTGAACCAATCGCCACGACCAACTCCTCCAATGACTAAAATGGAATATCAAAATTATTTTACTTTGTCAATTATTTCCTCGATTTCTTCTTTATTCTGAAATACTTGTACCAATCCACATCCAGCGACGAAGGACCAATGTTTTGACTGTGAAATGATACACGAGTGGAACTGTTTTCCAGTATTCTTTTAATTATCAGGAGGAGATTACAATATTTCTGGCAGCTTCAATGACTATTTCTGACAATTCTCTCATAGTTGATTCGACTGGTTTCGATTGTTAGCGTACTTGTTTCTACCTGGTTTCGACTGTTAACAATGTGTTTATAGGAACTTTTTTTCTTATTTTGATATGTAGTATCACCCGTCGAAGTCCGGTACAGTATTTTTTTTACACCCTGTATATAAGTCCTCGACCGACGACACAATGCTTACAAGTGAACGAACTCGAGAATTTTCTTCCCACATTTGTCTTCTAACATTCGTCAGAAACGGATTGTCGACGACATGTCGCGTTAATGGACGGCCGGCCTTAGGTGGACGTTCCTGGAAAAATAAACCATCGTGAGAATTTGGGATTGTGTGGTGTTATAGTAAAAAGACTACGAACACCAATTTTTTTCTTAGATTTACGGATAACATTGGTTAGACCAATACGTCTGTAATTAGAAGGCTGGAGTTTGTCCTCTTTTTTGAAGATTGTAACTACAATTGAGGCTTTCCATGTTTCTGCAATGGGGGCCCGGTTGCATCTAAACATTCGGGTATAGGATTCGGCACCTAGGCATATCTCATTGGTCCGTTTGAATTCGGACCGCCAATTGATGCGGAGTGCTGAAATCCGTACTTGAATGTTGAACGGTGCTGAGCCTCAGGTCAGAATGGTCCATTAGCAACAGCCATGTGGAGTGCCGAATCTAAGGTCAAAATGTTAAACAGTGCTGAGTATCAGGTCCGAATGTTGCCATGCGTTTGGCGCGGTTTTTATATTTAATCAGCTGTCCACCTCCTTCGTGTTCCTCTTAGCTACAATTTTGCGGCGGATGCGGTTTATTTTGCCGTTGCTTCATGTGTTCTTGTGCTTAAACATGCAAGATGAGTTTGCCTGGATCATTTAAACACTTTCAATGTGGTGAGCAAATTTACCGATCCAACAATTTGGAGAAAAACGATATAAAGCAATGGATAGAAGAGTATAGTGCTATAACATACACGGATTGGAATGTGAAGTCAGCGAAAAATAATTATAACAGATTCAAATGCAGGTTTGTGTTCAATGTCAATTCAATGACGTAGAATCTTCTTGGATGCGAATAGACTTTGGAAAATACATTTTTTAGATATGTTTTTGTATGCCATCATAGTGCTTATAAAAAAGTGGATCAAGGAAATAATAAGAAAGGAAAATCCAAAAACTGCTGTTGCCTGGCTTCAATTGATATTTTAATTAAACCATAGATTAAACTAAGCACCACAGATACCAAAAAAAAAGATAAATATATTAGGGTATTTATTTATTTCCAAAATTTTCTATTCTAATTTGCCAGGTTTCAGGTATTTATAATCCCCCCCTGGGTCCGCCACTGCAAATTATTGTCCAAGATTTTTTGAAATGTATCGTTGAAATAAAATAAATGTGTAACAAAAAGTAAATAAAGTTTGTTTGTTGATTTTGTGCCGCGCTAACGGAGTAACATTCCGACCCGAGGCTCAGCACCGTTCAACATTCAAGTACGGATTTCGGCACTCCTCATTAATTGGCGGTCCGAATTCAAACGGACCAATGAAATATGCCTAGGTGCCGAATCCTATACCGGAATGTTTAGATGCGGCCCGGTTTATTATGGTCTGTAAAATAGTTGCTATTGGACGGCAGAGTGCTTTTGACAAATGTTGGAACTTTTCCAAGGGCCGGACTGGATTCTTCTCTTATAAAATGGAATGGCCTCGTGTAATTTTTCGGGAAGGAATAGTATGCAGTTTATCTCCAGTATGGAGCGCAGCTTAGGTAGGACTGGTAGGAAAGTGGGATTGATATCTTCTAGGGTATATACTCTTCGTAACCAGTTGGGCGGCAGCCATTTCGTTCTCAGTGTAGGATCTGATTTTTCATTGTACTTTTAAACACAAAATTCTGAAAATTTGGATTTAGGGAATGTTTCACATTGGATTGAATTTTTTTGTCAGTTCCTTGTAGTAGATTTTGTTCATATACCTTTCTGGCTTGGGTTTAGGATCTGCTTTGTTGCATTGTTTTGTTGTTGATAATATTCATAATAAGTGTTTGTTTTTGTACTTTGGAATTTATCCCATAGTTTTCTCCCATCCTATAATCTTCATGGAGGTTCTACGTTTTGTAGTGTTCAGGTAAACGACGTTACAAACTTTTTACCTTCAACGTAAATTTTTATTTGTGAAAATGGCGTTCAATGAATATTGAACCAGCAAGTTAAGAGAGCATGAGCTCCTATGTAGTGAACGTACACAGCTTGTGGTCCATTATTAGTTCTTTTTTGTAGGCCTGAGAGAGCACCAGGTACGTTCTCGTCATATATCTTCAAGCACATTTAAAAAGCGCTTCAAGATGCGCTGGAATCAATTGTTAGGTATTTTTTTTTATAACTGTAGGTGTTATACTGGTCCGCAAAAGTGGAACTGCTAAGCTCTTTGGGGTCTGTCATTTCTGAGGAACTTTTATGATTCATTGGCTGGGTTCGGTGATTGCATCCGCGAGCAAAAAGGGCGAATTTTGACGGACGTCACGTGATCAATTTTCTTTTTTCACATGTCGGGGGTCGACTAACACCGGAGCGAGTAGCTCTAGTGTTTCAAGCTCTTGAAAGGAATACAACTAATTACCGAACCCAGCCATTGTTTATTAACTTGATACAAGTAATTTATTCAAAATTTTGACAAGCTGTCATATCAACTAGGGGACCATATAAACTTCAAAGTTGGCAGTTTAAATAAGGACCGAAAGAGCTTTGATGATGATCACTTGACCGCTATGCCTACTTGAGATGTTTAAGGGGCTAGGGGGTTCAAAGGAGGGACATGAATTTCACAAATATCAATTTAAAAAAAATAAATAAAATTCGTGTTCTAATCTATTGTACAAATTATCAGTTGACTGAAACCAAAGAATTGAAACTTTAAGTAAGTCCAGTATGGGGATATTTTCACAAATAAAGCGAAATTGGTGTGATTTCATGATATATAAGTTCCATGGCCAATCAATATAGAATTCACTTTTAGCACAAGGGGAAGAATAAGTCGTTTGACACAATTTCCAGCAGTCGCAGTCCCGTTGAAATGCAAAATGTGATAAAAGCGTTTCCATCAATGGAACCCATAAAAAAAATCTGCCCAATCTGTATCTTTCCACGATGGTGTTCTGATAAAAAAAAAATTGAACCAGTCATACAGGATGTGTCATTATAATGGGTAACCATAACTAGTTTTTGAGCGGCTGAGGCCCCAGAATATATACAGTGTGTCCCGCTTAAGGACTGACCACCCTTCTAAAATTTTTATTTTTCAACCGATTCAATTCCCTGTACACTAGTACAGCCGCAGAAATAAAATTATAATCCTAATAAGTGCCAAATTCGAGTAGATATAAGAAAAAAAAAATTGAATCGGTTGAAACATATAAACATTTTAGAAGGATGGTCAGTCCTTAAGCGGGACACACTGTATATATTTTTTTTAATCAAGTGTAGCCGAAAACAACAATTATTATCAAACCTCAAAGTAAAAAAACACTTTGGAATATTATTCCCTACAAGACAAGGGTACCCTATTTATTAAATTTACAACGCTTGATCCAGCATTGATGTCAATGCTTTTTACTATCGAGACCTTGGCTGGAATTTTTAAAAAATTATTTACTTGGACATGCCACGATGACAAAGTATCCTATTGCTGTGTTTGTGTGGAGCTGAGACTAATCACTGCTTTATGGTAATTATAGGAGAACAAAATACAGGCTTTCTCAACTGCTTCTGAGTTGTTTTTCTTTTCTTTTTTGTTGACAGGTAAAAACAATATAAAATTATTATATTGTATGTAACACAAATATCATCAATTTTTCACAATGAGAGCTAGTATTTGGATATACATATTATTATCAGGCTCTCTTGATAATACCGTAAAGTATTGTTTTAGAAAGACCAAATGCAAGTTGGAGCTAGTTTTCTAGACATTAAATCTCATCTTCTAAATGTTGAAACCAAACGATCTTTCTATTTATCCTTTAGTAGAGCAATTACCTACCAATAACACAACCATGTATATAGTAAGTATATTTAATTTCCTTTAGAATAAGCGGTTAATTAAAATAAAGAAACAACTAGCCAAATAACTTTTTCCTATTATCTTTGGTTTTAAACATATTTCACAGTAAATCTATAAACTAATATTACTACAAAAATAGCTATACCCTATATACATCAATTTGCTATATGGTTACTTCGACATATTTCAGGAATCTGCTTTATATTATATAGTATATGGCAATTAAATTTTTATTTCACAACCAAAAAATATCCAATTGCAAAAATCCATTTATATGTATGTATATTATAATATATTAACACCAGTTATAATTTTCAATTAAATCAAAGCTAAATGTGCACATTGAAAAATCTAACTAACCTAGTTGGAAAGTAATATACAAGCAATTTTAGTTTTGTGTATTTCGGGCATTATACAGGATGGTCGAATGTGATAGTATTACACAGCACAAAAATTGCCCAGGAAACCTTGGACAACTTTAGAAGGTAACCTAATAATGGACTCAAATATACTCCTGGCCAAAATTATCGCACCACTGCTTATGGGGCTTATGTGCAGTGGTGGTGCGATAATTTTGTCCAGGAGTATAGTATATTTTATTTAGAAGCAATGCTACAGAGTTCTATCTGCGGGATGTGAGAGATCTTGCAATACCTGTCTAGAGATTGAGCATGTTCGGTAGTTCTGCAAGTCTTTTTAGGGGGAAAAAAATTGAATTTTTGCATCATGGTGGTTTGTAAGATCAGTCATTGACTGGTAAAATACAGGGTGTTTGGTTGGTCGATGCATATATTTTGGGTGGTGATAGAGAGGTGAGTTTGACTAAATAGGTTCTAAATGACTTACTTTAGCACTTACCAAAATATATGCATCGATCTACCAAACACCCTGTATAGAATAAAATAAAATAAAATAAATCGTTCTGTTTTTCCTCAGTATCTCCTTACAATACCGTATTGATTTTAATGAGTAATTAATTTTTTTTTTATTCTTGTTGTTTCTGAAATATTGAAGCAAAAACAAATACAAACACCAAAAGTAAACGGACACAAAAACGTAAATACAATTTTTATATTATTAATTTTGTTTATGCAACTTATTGCCAGACGTTACAGCATATTGCAAGGAAACTTTCAGAAAGACTCTTCAACTTGCAAGTGACTTGCAGCATGTGAACAGGACACTAAAAATTGAAAGATCTTAAAAAACATTGACTAAAAGAGCCCATTTGTTTTCAAAGGTTGGTAACAGTCAGTATATTTTTTTTTACTCACCTTTTAGAGTCATTTATAAATGGTTGCATTTTTAACTTCTTTGGAAATATGCATGACCAATAAAGTTTATGTACCTATATCTAGGTAATGTTACTTTTACAATAGAAGGAAATACAATCTTAGAAATTAAATATAATTTCCTTGTCCATAATATAAGGAATTTATCCTCGATCTATAAACGTTTATAATTTTAGTGACATCAACTTACTACAAGCGTACAAGTTAATATCATAGACACATAAAAAAAAGTTTTAAGCTTTTGTAGGTATTTACACACAATCAATAATTTATAATATTATTTATTTTAATCAGGAAGCATATGCACGAAACTAATAGGAAACATTCCAGTTCTTTCAGGTTCATTTTCAACAGCACCTTCCATCCAGTTGTCATCATCAGTCTGTTCATTAATAACAATAATGATTTCACCTTCTTGAAATGACAACTCGTCTTCATTATCGGCAGCACAATCGTATAAAGCCTTACACCTTCGAAGGCCAGCACCACCATTTGATGTGTAAGATAATCGGCCTGGGAGCAGTGAACTTGGAGAACACATTGTTGACAATGGACTAGATGATACTCTTTGAGGAGGGGAATCTGATGCCTGGAATTCCGAAATAAAAATAATATTAACAACTTTTTTCTTTCGTTTCAGGGCCGATCAAGTTCCTTAATTCTAAAAACAAAATATATCAACATTTTGCACATTAGCTCACATATCATGGACGAGGGAGTGGAAATTAGAGTAAAAACTTTTCGGAGCGCTTACAAAATACATTTGGCCAAGTTGTGGAGAAATGAGGCACAATCGTGATGCATCATTAAATGTGAACAAGTGAACAAATAATTCGCAAAACTACTTTTTTATGAATAAAATATAAGTACCTATTGAAATTATTACCAACCTATTATCTCATATACTCATGGAAATTCCTAATAAAAAAAATTCCATATCCATTTTCAAAGTTCGTGGCGACCTTAATACTACAAATACAGGGTGCGGCAAAACAGCCACCAACATTTTGAAAGTCAATTTAAAAAAAAATCGATAGTTTTAACTTGCGTTTTTGTTTGTGAGCCAAGTGTCTTAGCATTCTTCGCAGATCCACGTAACTTCTAAAGTCGCGCGTAACTCTCTCAAGTATTTTTTAGGGTGAATGCCAATTTTTTGTGCAAATTGCTTTCTTTAGAGTTAGTCTGGATTTTTATGCACCTATTGATGTTTGGCGTCCGCTTTGAAATTTCAAACCTATAAAATAACAGTTTGTTGCCATCGATACATAGATTTTAATTTTGCAAAATTTTATACACTGAGAGCCCTTTGTTCTGGTGTGTTATGCCTACTTTCCTCTATTCTTTCCATGCCTTCATGGCCCCTGGGCCCCCTGGAATGGCATTCAATTTTTGGCCATAATTTTTCTGTATTGGCATTGGTATTGTCACGAATTTTCAAAAACTCTCTTTACTAACTACAAACACTTTTATTGAACTAACTGATTTGAAAAAAAATTACTAATGACTTATGGCTCTTACTCATCACATCAGGATTTTCTTGATGATTTGTTTCTCTGAGTTTGCGGTTTGAATCCGTTCTTGTGTCGTGTGCCGGTCATATTCTTCTTATTTTTCTTTTTGTCTTCAGACTTCCTCTTCTCGTTTTTCTTTACATCTTCAGGCTGCTTGTCTCTTTTTCTTTCTTCGGTCTTCCTCTTCGTGTTTTTATTTCTACCTTCTTGCCTGTCTTTCGGCGTTCGGGTTTCCTCTTCTTGTCTTTGAGCTTCCTCTTTTTGTTTCCTGTCTTCGATATTTTTCGTGAAGTTTATCAACTTCCCCCATCACGGCGTTTTGCGTTCGTGAATTTATCACAGAATGTACTCTGTATCTATCTTGAAACACGATTCTAAGTATAAAGTGCCACAGAGAATTAAAAATTCTCGTACCTTGTCTAATTTTCGAATAGAACACTATAGAATGTTCAAGAAAAATCCGTTTGCAGAAAACTCTTTTTCGGTGCCAAATTCCGTAATTGAATCACTATGTCAGTTCTGTTCTACTTAAAGTTCATTAATTGTTCTGACTAATTATATTACAAAAATACGGGTTCTGGTCAATTCTCCTAGAAACTTTTAAAAGATATACCTACCTGAAATTCTGCTAACAGTAGCGTAGCCAGGATTTTGTCTTGGGGGAGGGGGGGGGGGGGCAAATTTGGAGGAAGTGTTTCTTGCGTACCCACCGCGACCGCTATTGGAGGCAAAGCGCCGCAGTGCCACGCCCCTTTTTTAGGTTTCTTTACGCTATTTTTGGGACTGTTTATTTTAATTTTGAAGAATTATTCATAAAATTTAAGGGTCTTGGGGGGGGGGGGGGGCGAATGCCCCCTTGCCCCCCCCCTGGCTACGCCAGTGTCTGCTAAAGTTATATAATTTAATTAAGAAATTAGCATCCTTTCTCTGTAAGCCTGTTTTAAAGTTATATTGAACGTCTTATGATGGCAGCTCTTAAAAATAGATTATGCCTCCAAGTCACACAACCTAGGGACTGAACAGGGCTCATGCATGCTGCTACGTCCTTATATAAAACAAAAGGTACACTAACTAAAAAAGGACCACCAGGATCATAGTACCACTCCCATATAGCAAAATTATGTGATTTTATGTGCAAAATTTGATACAATATTAGTTTTTACTGATCTATATTTTCAACTAAGGAAAACTCGACTGGTCCTCTATCTATATTGATATTTAATGTGCTCAAAGGTGTATTTTGTTAGGTAGAAACACAGTAATTCTAATTTTATTATTTACTTCTGGTACTGTTGTGATGATAACTGGAAACACAAACTTCAAACTAAGCTGTGAAACTTAAAACTTACGCAAGTCTAGTTTGAATCGGACTAAGAGAAAGAAACATTTATTGTCATTTTCTTAAATTAGCCGTGTTCGTTTTCGTCATCTTTTTCGTCGATTTGCTCCGAAATATTGACAGACACGCGATTTGTAAATTGAAACTGTCTGATCCAGTCACGTTGTCAAAATTTCGGAGCAAATCGACAAAAAAGATGACAAAAACAAACGCGACTATTGACAATAAATATATTTCTACAAAAAAGCTTTCGAAAGTTCTTTTAGCCATACTCTAGCTAGAATCAAACCGGTCTCACATTTTTAATAAATTCTACTTACAATATTAAGCAGCCCCTTATTAAATTAATAACCACAAATACCAGCACACATGCGAAAAAATTAACACCAAGACTTTAGAAATAAATGTAGGTCCTAATGTTTATTTTAAGTACAACTATTTTCAGCATAGAAGGGTCTAAATTTTTTAAGATTAACTCAGAGACCAAGGGGCGGTTTATTCATCTCCTGACAAACTGTCAGGTATGCAATCTGACAGATAAAAACGCAATCTGTAATCCCATTGGTCAACCAGGTATCCGCCGACCAATAGAATTATAGAACGGTAAATTTGTCTTGCAGATAGTTACCACCCAGTTCATCTGAAGATGAATAAACCGGACTTTAATATATTAAATTTTACACGAATTACATTTATTTCCAAAGTCTTGAAAAAACACATCCAGTTAGATAGCTTTCAAACACAAAATGCATGTTTACCAGACTAGAATCATTCCCTTCAGTAAAACTATCCAAACGACATTTCCGTCTCTGCAAATCAAGTCATTTCACAATTGATAAGAAAGTTAGACAATACCAATTTTTTTTCCAAAATTCAAGAAAAATACTAGCATATGCATGCTTAATTTATAAATTATAAGAAAGAATAAACAAAGAATTAATTTTGGAAAATTCTTTAAAAAGTAGTTGGGCAATGTTAATACAGTTTATACTGGATTACTGGAATTAAAAAAAAAACAATATGCAGAATAAGACATGTTATCTAAAAAAACTGAAAAAATTAGTTTAATATCAAGTTAAATATTCAATTGGCAATACCATTCAAAATACTTCACCTCGCCAACTGTCTCTGGTGACTTGAAAGCATTTTGGGTGGAATGAACCATTTGGCAGCATATTTAGCCTAATAACGGCCAATTTATTCAAAGGCAGTTGATGTTTGGTCATTTTCATTTCACCATTTTTATTAAATAGCTTCAACACGTTTTATTTTGGAAAGGCGTGTTGTTGTTGTACTGTAAAATGGCAGTAAAATTTTTAGGAAAGTCCAAGATGGTCAACACATAATTTAATTGTTTTATTACCCCAAAGGTGCGTGTGGCCCAGTTTACATGTCAGGTTTAGAGTGCCAGCTAAACGAATAAACTTGGTGCCCAACTCACACCCGGCGCTTTCTTAGAGGAAAAAAAAACAATGACTTTATACTACTAAACATCATTCATAAAATGCCAGTTGTTGTGTTGACAACATGTTTGTTGGCAAGGGACTTTGTGCAAGGTGCGGGCAGGTCATAGTGGGGAAGTCCAGACTTGCACAAGTATAAAGTTTTTGAGTGTGACCACACACGGCACAAGTTTACTTGAACGATAACGATATCAGACACAAATATGGAGTAGGCTATTTGTGTTGCGACGATGGCATCCACTGATGACGCTTTGGTGAAAGTTGGCTTAATATTGGCTACAAAAAAATCGAAAAGATCTACATAGAAAGCACCGAACTATATGGTGTAAAGAATGGGTAATGGAAAGAAAACGCTGGACGCAGAACGTGCGTACAAACAGGCGGCTAGGATACAAACAACTACTGAATACTTGAACAGATCGAACACCTATGCCACACACGCTCAAGTTAATTAACGCAAACCCAAACTTGCACAAGTCTCGGAATCGAAAATTGAAACTTTCTGAAGATTTGTATTTGCGCAATTGTCTTCCAACACACGTTACTGTATACTTGCGCAAGTATATCGTAACGTGTGTGGCTGGCATAATATTGTATCGACTCTGTGAGGACTATTGTTATCGACACTCATATTTGTGTTAAACATTCCTTTTCTCTGTGATATTAGTTCATTGAATAGAAAACACAGGTCGTTATCGACATTTCGAGGATCTCCCAACAAGAAAGCGTCGTCTAAACAGCGTGTTGTCGATTAAAATCTTCTAATGTGCGTCTCGAATAAAAAAAAAGTAACGATATCACGCCTAATTTAATTGTAAATAAGGCTCAGTTAAGCGTTAAATTTGGGTTCGGAATAGTGATGTGCCGAAAGGAACGTTCCCTAGGGAACGTTCCCATTCCCAGGGAACGTTCCGGGAACTTTCCTTTAAGGTCGGGAAAGTAAACAAAAACTGGGAATGTTTTTGAAAAAACAAAATTGAATGATATTTTATAGTCTATAACCTACTACATCAAAAAAACTAAATGATAACGATGAATTGGGAAACCCGAAACCCTTGGTGAAACCAGCTCTTCCAACTCACCGGACTATAGTAGTAACGAGTTAGACTCTGACAATTAGGTCCTTCCTTCTAGATTAAATAACTAGCGTAGAGCGCAACAATTAACAAGTTATCTTTTTTTTGTTAGCACTTCGAAATTTTCAGGGTTTGGTACAATATTTAGTTTTTTTTTCAGGGTAAAATATTTAGTTTTTCTTACTACTAGGTAAAAAATAAAATGTAGTTTTTATTTTTTTATTACTTAATATGTGTGTGCGTCTATTCTAGTTACAATGTTCAATATTGCAGTACACAGAAGTAATGTAGTAATGTTTAAGTTTTTTCACTGATCTCAAGAGTCAAGAGTACAAAGACATAGGTATAAATATTTTTTTTCTGTGACGGGAAAAAAGTAGACTTTTTGTACCTGTTGACAGGGGCAAAAATGTCACTTTTTCTCCCATGGGAAAAAAGTGATTTATTTTTTCCCACTGGAAAAAAGTAGCAAGTTCCAATCAAATTTTTTTCCCGAGGGAAAAAACTAACAGGTACCAGTCAAATTTTTTTCTCAAAGGGAATAATGTATAGATGGAAAATGGTGAGATTTTCGCGTCACAGAAAAAAATAGTGTATTATATATGGGAAAAAAGTAAGATTTTAGCGCGAGGTGTGGTTTGTCTCCCAACGCGAAGCGGAGGGAGACAACACAGCGAGCACTTTTTTTCCCCTGCATAATAGATAACTATTTTCAAAATTTTGTTTTTTTTTTGAATAGATGCAGGCAATTTTGTTTATTGTTTTGGTTTTTGCAAACATTCCCTCACATTCCCAATTTTAGGGAACGTTCCTGGGAATGTTCCCGGGAACTTTCCCAAAAAACACTTTCCTGGGAACCTGCCCATCACTAGTTCGGAATCTCGTTGCCACCTCTTATGGTGGGTATTATAAAACTATTTTGACAGAAAAACTAAAAGTTAACTTCTGGAATCACGTTACTTCTCATGTAATTCCAAAAGTTAACTTTTAGTTAACTGCCAAAGTAGTTTTATAATACCCGCCCTTAGTCAATAACAATTTTTCCCCCAAGTTTTGGAAACACCGAGCTTAGAACTAATTGAATTTTTAAGGTAATTTTACTACCTTATGTGGGTGCAAGGTTCGTCATTTATTGGCAAAGGATAATTTACTCTTTTGTAAAACGGGCTGACATTTATTTATATTATGGTTGGAAGAGAACCCCGCTATGCCAGTCCCAAGCCCGCGGTCCCATCGCACTGATGGAAAAGGTAGAAATTCCAAAAAAAAAAAAAAATAGGGATCATCTGGCCCGAGTCGATAGCATCCTGAAAGGGTTCCTGCCTGCCTAGGATAACAGGTGAAGCTACGCAGTGTCGGCGTGACGATTTGTCAAAGACGAAGAACCACGATCAAAAATTCATCTCTCTTTTCTACTCGGAATAAACCTAGTGTTAAAATCCTGAGCCCCTGAGCTGCTCAACCCTTTGCCAGGGATCTTGACAACTAACAGATCGCCAAAGTTATAATTTGGATTCCAAGCAAGAAGCATAAATCTACTAGAAAAACAAGATCCAGAGCTGGGCAGGAGAGTAGTAGAAATAAAGAAGCTACAGGCCTTTACCTGCCTAGACAAGCAGGTCTGTCCCTTCTGAAGCGCAACAAGGGCGCATGGAAAGCGGAGACAAAAAGGGCGACTACACTAAAGTTACGCTGCGGAGCCTCTTCAAACTATGCCTCTCACTGCCAAAGCAAAGACCCACAAAAATTGGGAACCAAGCAAAAAAGGATGTAAATAGTGGGGAAAGGCAATGGAAGGTAATGGAGACTTGCCATCCGAGTACTGCAAAAGAATATATTATAAAATAATTGCGTTAGTGTGAACACAGAAAATAGAGATAGAGTGGGCCATGCCGAGAACCCAATAATGATACAAGACCAAGTTTTACAATACAAGTTTTTTTTTTTTTAATTTACACATTTTATTTTGTGAATGGCTATTTATAACACTTATCATGTATTTTTTAAAATATGACGTGTTTTCCGGGCCAATTTAAATTGGACATCACAGTTATTGCTACAATATGCCTATTCCCAAATGTCAACCATTAACTTTTTTGTTTGAAACAGAAATAAAAATAACCCAACTTCAACTGTCAATCAAAAATAGCACTAAATACATGAACATTGCAAATATTATGACCAAAAATACAACAACTTATACAAAAATAACTGACAAAATCTAATAACATTTTCATAAATAGAAAATCAACAACTAACTTACCCTGCGTGGAGGTGGAATGGGACTGTGGCTTATACCAGAAACATCGAGGTCAGACGTCATTGATGAAATGCTTTCATTAGATCTGCCGTTTGAGAGTCTGTTTAATGGGGCAGGTGGCGGTGGGTTCAGAGGTCTTCGCAGAAGTGCAGTTTTGTCTATATTTTTACAATCTGGCATGACGAGTTTGCTTCCTGTAATATCAATAATCTTATGTAGGTATTATCACTCAGACCCTGTTCGGCATGGAAAAACATATTTTTGCTTTGCAAGTTTCTAATTAAATATGCTAAAGATGTGTAACATCAAGTTCAAAAAAATAAAACCAATCCAATTGATGAACAAACTAGCCCTAAACCAAATGTTGGACAATACGTTCCGGGCTTGATTCTAGAGAACAATCTTTGTTATTTCGAAAGACTTGAATGATATTGAATCATTGGACCAGGTCCCAGATATCCATCATTCACAATTCTTTTAATTTATCTTGAATGCGTAATAGGCTCGCACATTCTGGATTATAATTTTTCTTGAATTTTGTGGGTAACAGAATATATAGTATGTATAACATATTTTTGCTACTTGATTGTAAGGACGATATTAAGTAAAAAAGCGGTGTTGTCAAATATTGCTATAGTACTATTTTGTGATATCGATTAGATTGTACAAAAATTAAATATTTGTACTGAATCGTTATTCAATCTCACTTCTGGTTTACTGTTGAAGTTGAAATTTAGTAATCGGTGAAATTGCACAACTCTATCTAGGAATAAAATGGCAAGCCGACAAAGCCAGTAACATTCATTTAGTACAATTTTGGGGATCAATTTGGCAACGTTTCAATGACTTGTAAAAAACGTCGCCCATAGTTTATTTACCTTTTGCTACGTCTATAATGTTGTTAAGGTGAACCCAGATAATTTAAGTGTCAAGTTCTTAAGGAGAATAGCCATATTGCAGTGAAATGATAAACTATGACCTACAAGCAATACTTGAATGGATGCAGGGGAATGGTCTAAAGACCAATGCGCCAAAAACAGAAGCAATGATTTTTGGTAAAAAAGCTCAAGACCTCACAGTGGCGCTGAAAGATCAAATAATAATGAATTTTCTAAGTCCATTAGATTAAAAAACACCTGTGTCAAAAACCTCGGCCTGTGAATGGACCAGAAGTTGGATTATGCACATCAGGTCAGGCAAACCAATTTTATTTTTTTTTTAATTGTGACATGCCTTTTGTAATATTTATTACTCTTATTACAAATAAATGATTTATTATTATTATTATTATTAAACCAATCAAAATCGTTTCTGAAAATTTGATAATTTTCAATGTTGGTTGTCCTTAGACCTTCATAGTTGGCGAGGAGGTTCTAGTTTCAATTTTTTACGGAAATTTGATGAAACAACATAAACAACATGAAATAACAAATTTGTGCAAGCATCCCATTGGGACACTACTGTATACTGTACTTTACTTTCAGATTATCTCTGTATTATCACAGCTGTTTTGCTTACAATTCATTGGTGTAGCCAGGAGAAAAACTGATCGCTTGAAAGAACGTGAAACTATGAACATTTCTAAATATGTCACTCACCAATTGGTATGACAGATCTTCCTGAGCTCGAATCACTACTTGGCGAACGTCTGTGTGTATGGTTGATAGTATGATAACCTGCAGCTATAGGATCAGAAGGTGTTCTACTATGATTGCTTGGAAGCGTGCCATACTGTCCAGAAGTTGTTGGAGGCGGTAAAGGAGCTACTCGTTTCTTTATACTACCATGAATGTTAGGTGCTGTAAAAAGATGTTTGTGGAAAAAAATGATCTAATAAAAATGACAAACTTACCTGAATAACTGGGAGGTCTAGATCTGTTTTTCTTTTCAGGTGTTAACGATCCATTCTACAAGAAAAATTATAGTATTTATCAGTGATCTTGCGTTATATATACGTATATACGTTACGTAAGTATAATTATGTAATACGTGTTGTAAAACGGAAATATTTATAATATATTATGAATGTATATTCACGAATCGCATCAGTTGAAATGCTGAATCTGATTCGCACTCTGTGGATGATACCATATTGAAATATGTGACTGGAGGTGGATGATTTCGAAACTGCCAAGAGATTTGAGTCTTATTTTCAATAATAAAATGTCTCAATACATTATAGACACAGCAACATGATAGAGCGCAAACGATTAATAAACTCTGCCTAGACTATCAGTAAGCTTTTGACACCGTCCGTCCCAATAAACAGGTTACTCACTATAGAAGCTAGAAAACTTCGAAATCAGAAAAAATTAGGTACTTCCTAGAGTTGAACTATTTTTGAAAAACCGAACCTCTCAGGTCAGTGTAAAAAATAAGTGTAGCTTACAGACGCTCAAAAACCTTCGAAATTGCAATAAAAAGAGGATGATAATAAATTAGCTTCAAAAAGCTTTCCATTCAGGAATTTGGAAAAATACCAGTTTTGGAATGAGAGACTGATGTTATCTTACAAAGGTCTGGAGAGATTAAAGCTGCAGAAGTACTGTTGTTACTCCATCTGGCCTAGATGATAATAAATTAGATTCGAAAAGCTTTCCATTCAGTAATATGGAAAAATACTAGTTTTGGAATGAGAGACTGATGTTATCTTACAAAGGTCTGGAGAGATTAAAGCTGCAGAAGTATTGTTGTTACGCCATCTGGCCTAGAACCCTTATTGATGTCTAGAGATAAAAATTTGGCATAGATCTCAGAAAATGGGATTTGCAATTCGGGAATATGAATGAATGAAGGAAGATACCTCGTGAGGTGCATCAACAGCTTTGTGAAAAAACAGTGCAAACATGTTGGCAATATCCTTCTCAAGGTCATTATTGTCATAGAGGAACAACTGGCCATTTCAGTGTGACATATATAATTGGCTATTTGTTTGCATAAATGCTTCGACCGATCAAATTCCCAATAATCAATATTGAATCGAACTGTTCTCAATTTCTGGACGACAATTTTCAGTAGTAATAATCTAAGGACATTGATAATTGTACGAAAAAATTTTATAATCAATTTCGAAAGCTTCTTGCTTAGAAACCGACGCCGTAGGCGGAGGTCTGTTGCCTATATTTGACAAGCTTGTTGTTAAAAGATTTTTGAGAATTTATCAATGTTCGAGGGTTATTCGGATAGGATTTTTTTTTCTAATTCTATAAACAAATACAGAACAACGTGATAGAGTGATATCCGCCCATAGGATCTGTTTTCAGTATAATGTTGGACTGATTGGGTGATTTGTGTCACATGACAATAAGTAACAAGATTTAATTGCCCTTAAGAACAATTTTCAAGATAAGCAGAGAACCTTATGTGGAATTTTCTGGCGGAACTGTCTGATTTCATGAACATTGGCGGAGTTTTAAAAAACTTTATTGCATGCTTTAAGGTTAGGACAATCCTCTGCTCTAGCACTTTTCGCTTTCATTTGAAAATTAAGGTGGATAACAGAGGTAACCAAAAAACATCTGTTACAGAATCCTGACACAAAACTATGCTATTCTGTGAAGACAGCAAATGATTTTGTTGGAACAGGTTGTGAAATTGGCAGGTAAGCTGTATTCAGGCTGCCTCCTAAGGAGATGCTTTGTCGTTTGCTGTAACTGTAAAGTTCAGTCCACTGTCCTGCCATGGAGCATGTCTCAAATTTGGGCATTCTCAAAGGCAGGTCATCCAAAGTTACTGAGAATGTTGAATAAGTTTGAAAAGGAGAATTGGGAGGTGTATAAGCTGCTTCCAGCATAAAACTAGCTTCGCCAGCACTAACTGAAAAAAGATCTGCTCAATAGTTTAAGGAACCAGGGCTGGAACTCTGTAACGGATAGAGATCGTTATCCCTATCGCTATGGCACTTCCTGTTTTATTCTCTCTTATCGAAATCAATAGAGAGGGGATGTCAATAGAAATAGAGAAAATATCCCTATTCGTTACAGAGTGCCAGCCCTGTCGCCTTTTGCTGGGCATGGATTCATGAATGGTCAATACTGCTTCCCACGAGTAGCATTCAAGTGCATTGCTCTCCGAGTGCTTCAGTAGCCTCACCCAAAAACATCTCCAGTGAACAGAATGGCACCTTATTCTTGGAATCAGTCGCATTGATGCTTTAACGTTTGGATGTACGTCGAATGATCACAGATCAGTGATGATCACATAAAATTTATCCTAAAGCATTCTCAAAATTTGTTTAATCGAAATTTATTACCAATGAACACAGACTCACAAAAACCAAAAATATAAATGAAATAAGCGAATGCTAAACCCCGCTCGCTGTTTTTTTGTGAGTATTCATTTGTAAAAAAAACAGTCAACAAGGATACCATATTTAGTTTTTGTTCGAGCTAGAGCCCACACCCGACTTACCCTCAGAAAAGCGAGCAACCAAGTATAAATTCAAACTACATATAGACAGTGGCCAGTGTGTTTTTAAACAATTTACTTACACGATCCTCAATAATAGTTTCATCATCAGAAAAATCAGTTGATCCATCATCATGAGATAGATTCCAGTCTATGTTGATATTATCAAAATAACTTTTCAGTCGATTGGCAGCGTTTTGTAGCTAAAATACATCATCCATTGTATTTTATACAAGGATTATCAGATTAACTAACTCACCAGTTCTTGACAGCTATGGTTTCCATACTCCTGCGCAATGTCCATTGGTGTTTTATTGTGGGAGTTCCGTATATTCGCATCGGCGCCGCTACGTAAGAGTAGTTTCATACACTCCGTTTTATCATACATAGCACAAAAGTGTAAAGCTGTGTCCGCTCCACTCATATCAGGATCAGTAGAGGCAATTGTTGTTTTGTCTAATGCTGCGTTAGACATATTCTGAATCAGAAAGTCGACAATTTGTAGCGTTCTGCCGGATTCGTTTATTATAGCTCGGTGTAATGCAGTCTCGCCGATTTTCTAATAATATAATTGAATAATAATAATAATAGATCATTTTAAAAGGTTATTAGTTTTCTACATGACATGGAAAATAAATAAATTAACACCGTCAAATTTTTCTTCTCAATAATATATAGTTGAAATATTTCATCAATGTTCCCTATTTTTTCTGACTCCTAAATAATGGATGTCTTATTTGAACTTTGGCGCCCTGTATAATCAACAATCTTGCTATGCTATGTTTCATTAAAAATTATAACATCATACAGTGGGAATGATTATAACATTAAACTGAGAGTGGGAATGATTTTCTCTTTTGTAACTCGTGTAAGTACAGTTGTGAGTCAGATTCTCGCAAATTATGTATTTCGAGTCAAGGAACGCAATTCAAACAAGGAAATGTCTTTAGTCCTAAACTAGGTATCACTATAGAAAAACTCAAACTTCCGAAGAGGCGTGGCTTAATCACAGCGTTCCTGACTTTCCAAAAATAATTCTAATCCCGACCACGGGACCGTGCTAACAGAAGTAACCTCCGGAATTTGTAATATGTAGTTCTATTATGTATTATTCGTTTATTATACTGTAAACTTAGGTTAGATTTGCCAAGTGCTGCGTGTTTTAGGCAATTTTGGCTAAAAATTTGTATCCTACATTATGGGGTTAAATACAAATGACACATTTGGTTCATATTTTAAAGAATTACAAGATGCTGTTGATTTATATGAGAAAAAACACAAGGCGGAAGGATTGACATTTTGAGCAAAATTAACACTCATTGGCAAAATCAAGAACTAGTTGCCCTTGGTACCCTTATCGAGACTTGGGACAGAAAATACATTGCGATTGGCAAGAGCAAGATTCTCTGAAAAATATTTTTATACCAGTAAGTGGTAGTTTATCATATGCGGTACCTATATGTAAAAGTATTTGTAATTTTGATGGAAACAAATTTCACCCATTGAAAGTTGAGGCAGAAATACAGGCAAAAATCAAACAGCGATAGGCTTGCCAGCCAAAAAGAAAAAAAAAAGCCTACAAAATGAGATGTTAAAATTTCTTTTCCATTTTGTTTACTAATAATACACGATATTTATTTTTTGCTACTTGTTGTTTTCCTATTAATTGTCTGATAAAATTATAGGTCGGGAGTTTACTTCTGTTAAAAAACAGTCCTGAGCTAGGGATTCGAATAATTTTTGGTAAGTCCCAAACGCTGTTATTAATCTACGCCTCTTCAGGATTTGGCGTTTTTCTAGCGATCCCGCGTTTGGGACCCTAGACAGTTTCTTTAAGCAATACAAAGATGTTGTCAAGACAAACATGTCCGATCGATGTGGGTGACTGAGGAACTATAGACCTGGATAGACCCGCATGACGACGAAATCAAGGCACGCATTATTCCGAAGGACAAAAGAATGGCAACATCTGATAAGAACTGGTCCAAAACAGCCCCTGACTGGGTGCTATGTGGGAGAATTTGTAGGTCCAAAATGATTTAGCCATCAGAAAACCCATAAATAGTGATGCTGTCGTAACATTTGTAAGCGAGTGAATAATCACCCTATAGTAAAACATTTTAAGAGAGGTATTATTACTATTTATGGATGAAGAGTTTAATAATGAAAAAATATTGTGAAACTTTCGCTTAGCATGTCAGAAATTATTAAAATGATTATACATTTTTAACTTGAAATACAAACAAGAAAAAACTACAATTATTAAAATAGTCGAAACAAAACTGTGACAAAGGTCCTTACCGATGAGGGTAGGCAAGCTCCCAAATCCACATTTTCAGCAAATATCTGCAACAGCAACCCCAAATCACCCCTATTAACAGCTTCCTCAAGCTCAAACAGTTTCTCCCTTTCAGAAGAACAAGTTGTAATCGCAAATCGTTTCTCAACATATTTTGCTCTTATAAAGTTAAGCCTTTCTTCCCTAAAAAATAAAATTTTTATTGGGTGTATTATATCCTGAATTATATTTGATGAAATAATGTACTTACATTGAGCTGGATGGTTCCAATTTATTATTGGGAGATAGCCTGGCTTCCATAATATCATTGAAAGCATGATTCGTCATAAATCTAGCTAAGACTAACTGACTAGTTCCAACATTATCTAATGTTAAAGATTGTATTCGAGATATATGTACTCCTAAATCCCTGTGTATACCGGAGCATTCTATGCACACTATTATGCCAAAATTTGTTGAGAGCCATGTAGCATCTACAAGAAAAAACTATTTTAAGAGATTTTTTTTAATAAAAAAATAATTACCATTCTGAGAATTGCAATCACAACATCTATCATTTCCAGGTATTTTTTGAATATACTTGATAATAGCTTGTTGAAATTCAATGAAACTATTCACTTTATCTCCGCCAGTTTTGCTACTATCATCAAAAGCTTTCATGAGAGCCATTTCTTTGCAATTTATTAATACTGACATCCAAGCCCTTTGATCAGCTTCATCCTCGGCTTGAAAATGATAAGTTCTGTTATCTGGAAACATGAATAAAACAATGCAGTGATTAAGAATAACAAAAATACCCCACTGGTCACTTGCAAAGTACATTTTAGCCCTCATATTTTCGAAATCGCAATACAAGGCTTCAATCCACTAGGAAAGAAGCACAGGTCTAGTAAATTGAAGTAATCTCCCAAACGCCTTCCAAGCAATTGATTTCGTAAACCTTTCTATATTTTCTCACCATGATAATAACCCAAGTTGATGTTTTGACATATGTTTCAAAAATCACAAAAAATTATGGAAAATTGCCCCCTGAATATTTTCAAATATTTGTGAAAGTACCTACCTACCTATTTACTTAAATAGTCATTTTAAAACTCTGGGTTCGCTAAGAAAACACCCATTTAGGACAGTTTATCTCTATATTTCAATAGAAAAGCAACAAGGAAACATATTTGTAATAAATTCAGGCCATTTTCTGGCTTTGAATACAAATTTGAACAAAAATACGTTTCCAAATTGCTGAGCTCCAATTTAGTTTCTTTTATCGTTAAACGGAAACTTTGGCTAGGACATTTAAGACTACATTAGATAGGTTTTGATTGATAAGGAGTAAAAAATCACGAGAAATGTTGTTGAAATGCAAATTCAACTTGTTTTATTGCTAACACAAACTATATTGGATAGATTCTGATTGAGAAGAAGTAAAAAATCGCGGAAAACGTTGTTGAAGTGCAATTTAAGGTAAGTTTCTCTCAATATTTCAAAAGAAAATGTCAAAAAGGGACACATTTATATTATTTTCTGGTTTTATATGCAAATTTGAATTGAAATTTTGCCAGACACAAACCTGAACACACTTAATAGATTTTGATTGTTGTAATGCAATTTCACTGAGGGCTAAAACTTGTAGTTGCAAGCGCTTGTTGCGGTTTGCGTATAAAATAAACTTACATGATATTAAATCAAAACCTCTTTTATCATCAGGAACTATTTTGATTTGACAAGTCAGCAAATTCACTCTGGTTGGAGGTTTGCTTTCGTCTGCATGACATATGTCTAGGTAACCTTCGGCCTGAACTCGACATTTTCTTTTTTGCCAAACCCGTCTCATTTTTCCTTCAGATTTTTTCAACAAATGGCCAGTCCTGGTAACTCCATGATGTTTGTCTCCCTGTAATTGATGTAGAGAATATCCTGCGGCACCTTTGTCCTGGGAACACTGCAAAAAAAATATATATACAGGGTGACTGGTAAGTGGACGTATTCCTTTGAGGAGATGACATTAGAGCCTATTTGCTACCGATTAAACACTATTTACCTCTATACCATTCTTAACGGTTTTCGCGATATTTTCATTTTTCTAATTTTTATAAAATTCACTACCTTATGAGGCAAATATTTAAAATTAACGAAAATAATAAGGACCTTTCTGAAAGTCGTGTTTTAAATTTTAAGCTGACACACTGACAAAAATATCAGCATTGAAAATTATCGAAACACTAATGTTAACTATTGAGTTATTGCGGTTTAAACTTAACTTTTCTTGTTAAGTTTCTAACTAATGACTTATTTAACCCTAAAAATATCGAAAATTTCATAGTACTTCAAACGTACAAATAATTGGCAAAAGTACTCCATTTTATTGTCTCCAAGATAAGGTACATTATTTCAGAATTAGCTTTTTGCTTTCTTGTTAAATAAATTATTTTTATTTTAAGGAGAGACGATATAATTTTCAACAGAATTCTAATTTATACCTGTTTTGGATATCAAGTGTTGCAATAAAAATTTTATCAAATTTTTTAGTAGCTAATAGTAATAGTTTTTAGTAAAGAAGTAATTATTATTTTCTGCTTGAAAATTTTGAAATTTTCATAATAAATTACTGGCACTCTATGGCCAAGCATTGTTGAATGCATTCTCTTTCAAATAGTTCACAATTGGCACCTAATTTTTTCGTTCCATAATAAAACAATAATTACCATTTGAAAAAATGTATTTCCTATCATAATAAAAAAAACAACATTCTCAAAATGAAATGGAAAAACTTTTTGATACAATTTAATCAATAACTCATTAATTTTCAAAATGACTAACCCCATTCCTTATGCAATTACGAGCCCGTCTTCGTATTTCTGTCCTGGTTACTCGATTTGAAAAGTTCTGTCGCAATATCGCAACAGGAGTTAAATCAGGGCTCCTAACAGGCCATGGTATGGGTCCACCTCTTCCAATCCATCTATTCGGAATCCTTTGGTCTAAGAGTGCCCTTATTGTTAGACGATAGTGTGCAGGACATCCGTCAAGCTGGAAGATCATCTGTTTGCCTGTTCGCTAAAGGGACATCTTGTAGTAGCTCATACAAGTTGTTACGTGAAAATTCTTCATAATTTTCACCGTTAAGGTTATCAGGTAAAAAATCAAAATTTGTTATTCCTTCTCTAATATTGTAGCATCCTCAACATCCGAATTCAGAATAAATCTGCAGAACTGAATTCTGCGAATTAATGGTTTCTTTATGCTGAAAAATTTCGAAAACTTCATAAAGTGTGTTTTTTTTTAAAAGATAATTCCCCAAGTCAAAAATTTAGTAACTATGTTGGCAACACAAGCCTTTTCTACATGAAAAATTTGAAAGCATTGACAATTTTACATTGTATTGCCAACATAATGTCAGTTTGACTTTTATCTTTAAAAAAAAAAACGCACTTTAGTCCACCAAACGTACAAATGATTGTTAAAAATTCTCTATTTTATTGTCTTTAAAATAAGGTTGTTTTATTGTTGATTTCATAATTTTCATTTGTAGGAGTAACGGTTTTATTCTCGCATTTAGAAGAATTGTAAGTTCAGACTAAGTAAGCAACATTATTTTCCAGTCTTTTCTTATTGCAATTTGGTGTGATACTCGCCAATCATGTTGATATTTATCAACAGGTATACCATACGCATTTTTCCATTTTTTGAATTAATAATAATAAACAATAACAAAATTTAGTTTCAGTTTTTCGTCCAAAGTTTTGATTTAAATAGTTCTGATGATAGTCTTTCGCTGTTAACTTCTATCTAAAATGGCAACGTTTAGCTATGCTGAATATGCGGACATTTTATTTATTTATGGTTTTTCCAATGGAAATGCAGCTGAAGCTCAAAGAGAATATGTACGTCGCTTCCCAAATAGGCGCATTCCACATGTTAGTGTGTTTGGTGCAACTTACCGTCGCATTTCAGAATCTGGCAGCCTTCAACGAGTAGAACGCGTAGGAGCTCCTCCTGCAGACGTTAACATTGATGGTGAAATTTTGAGACTACTTGAAGAAGGTCCAACAACAAGCACCAGAAAAATTTCCCGACAGCTGGGTGTTTCACAATGGAAGGTCTGGTCAGTGATTCATCAAAATGGTCTTCACCCATTTCATCACACTCCTGTGCAAGGACTAGACGAGGGTGATCCGGCGCGCAGAGTTCAATTCTGCAGATTTATTCTCCATGCGGATATTGAGGATGCTTCATTTTTAACAAGAATTTTATGGACCGATGAATCAAAATTTAGCAGAGAAGGAATAACAAATTTTCATAATTTGCACTACTGGGCCGAAGATAATCCGCATCAGAAGAAGCAAGTTAGTTTCCAAAGAAAATTTAGTGTCAATGTATGGATGGGAGTTATCGCCAATAATTTAATTGGACCTCATTTTTTACCGGATAACCTTAACGGTGAAAATTATGAAGAATTTTTACGTAACAACTTGTATGAGCTACTAGAAAATGTCCCTCTAGCGAACAGGCAAGAGATGATCTTCCAGCATGACGGATGTCCTGCACATTATCGTCTTACAATACGGGAACTCTTAGAGCAAAGGTTTCCGAATAGATGGATTGGAAGGGGTGGACCCATTCCATGGCCTGCTAGGAGCCCTGATTTAACTCCATTAGATTTTTATGTATGGGGGCACCTGAAAGAAATCGTATATGCCACGGAGGTAAATACGCGCGAAGAACTGATTGAAAGGATACAGAATGGGGTTGCGATATTGCGACAGAACTTTTCAAATCGAGTAACCAGGACAGAAGTAAGAAGACGGGCTCGTGATTGCATAAGGAATGGGGGTAGTCATTTTGAAAATTAATTACATCACTTGTTGGAAAAGTTTTTTCATTTAATTTTGAGAATGTTGTTTTTTTTTTTATTAGGAGAATGTTGTTTTTTTTTTATTATAAGGTAGGAAATACATTTTTTCAAATGGTAAATATTGTTTTTTTTTCAAAGATAAAAGTCACACTTACATTATGTTGGCGATACAATGTAAAATTGTCAATGCTTTCAAATTTTTTATCTAGAAAGAGCTTGTGTTGCCAACATTGGTAGTGAATTTTTGACTTGGGAATTATCTTCAAAAAAGAAACAGACTTTATTTGGAAGAGAGTGCATTCAAGAATGCTTGGCAATAAAGTGCCAGTAATTTATTATGCAAATTTCAAAATTTTCAAGCAGAAAATAGTAATTACTTCTTCTTTACTAATAACTATTACTATTAGCTAGTAAAAAAATTGATAAAATTTTTATTGCAACACTTGATATCCAAAACAGGTATAAATTAGAATTCTGTTGAAAATTATATCGTCTCTCCTTAAAATAAAAATAATTTATTTAACAATAAAGCAAAAAGCTAATTCTGAAATAATGTACCTTATCTTGGAGACAATAAAATGGAGTACTTTTGCCAATTATTTGTACGTTTGAAGTACTATGAAATTTTCGATATTTTTAGGGTTAAATAAGTCATTAGTTAGAAACTTAACAAGAAAAGTTAAGTTTAAACCGCAATAACTCAATAGTTAACATTAGTGTTTCGATAATTTTCAATGCTGATATTTTTGTCAGTGTGTCAGCTTAAAATTTAAAACACGACTTTCAGAAAGGTCCTTATTATTTTCGTTAATTTTAAATATTTGCCTCATAAGGTAGTGAATTTTATAAAAATTAGAAAAATGAAAATATCGCGAAAACCGTTAAGAATGGTATAGAGGTAAATAGTGTTTAATCGGTAGCAAATAGGCTCTAATGTCATCTCCTCAAAGGAATACGTCCACTTACCAGTCACCCTGTATATAAAATGAGTTATAAATAAAACAATGTTCTTTGAACAAAGACCTACTGATAAGACCTTCTATTGTGAAAAATATAACCTGTTCCCGAGCCCATTCCTGAGATATCCAGTGCGGATATGTTAAAAAATAGATAAATGTATTGCATAATAAACATTGCAGATTTCAACAAAAGGAGAAACTGTAGCGACTCTTTATGTATTATTATTAGGACGGTATATGGTTTACCTGCGAGTCGCAAATTTAAAGAGAACATTTTTGTATACCAATAAGTTTTTACCTTTTGCTGATTATATTTAGACATCCAAATTGATTTATACATTCTGAAGCAATTATACTAGACTTACAAAAACCTATCCGAGAAGCTGCAATTTCAAATGCGTTTTATATGGAATTATTAAAACCATATAGTTCAGATTATACAACTGCCAAAAGGTGACATTATTTGGTTGCTATAGTATATATGCACAAAAAAATATCTATTGTTTTTTCACTGGGAGAGAAAATCATCAAAATTTGATAGGTTTGTCATTCAATACTTGTTAACAGTCGCATGTTGCCACAGTATAATAAAAAAAAGTGTGACAGAAATTAACTTAAGGCCCCTTCACGATTCGCAATTTTATCACCTAATATTCCATAACATTAGAGATTTAAAAATGAAATCTATTTGCATGTCGGGCATACACATTGGCCAATATAGTTGCCGAAACATTTTCTGTCAAAATATTTGTCCGCATAGTTGTATACAATTATACCACCACACGATCGCCAAAATATTTGCGACAAATAGTTTTGGGCGAAGACGGACGAATATATTGACAGCTGGCAGAAAAAAAAACTCTTCCGAATACCTTTGATTTGTCTTCATTTACCGACAACCACGTGATCACGGACAAACTTGGGCCAGTCTCGGCCAATTCTGTAGATTTTTCGTTATACAAATCAAATCAAATCAATCATTCATTTGGTGCTATTATTACACTTAGTGTTTACACATGTCAAAAATAGTAGTACATATCAGTTGAAAAAAATTCACAAAATTCAATTAGCAAGTCTTTAACTTTTCTCCTAAATTGGATTCTGCTAAGATTTTTCAGGGGTTCTGGA